GATATTTGCAATAACCTGGAGAGAAAATAGTCTCCAAAGTGCAAATTATGATTTAGACAGTGAAGGGATGCATTGACATAGCTTGATTTCATTTTTTTTTTCATTTGATTGTCCTTTTCTGTGAAAATGACTATATTCTGTCTCTTCTGAACAAGTGATTTCAGAGCACATTGTCCCGTGAGGATGCTGTTCAGAAATCAGAGAAAACCTCCCAGCAGACCTGGCACTCAATCCCTGGGGAAACAACCCACAAGGACTCGTCTCTTCCTGTTCACATAGGACCTGCAAAGGGAGCTCAGGTGTCATGGACATTTCAGAAAGAGCGCGCTTGGTTTCAGTTAAATCTACAGTGAACCTACTGAACAGCTGCACCCAGCATGGCTGCAACTCACCTTCCTCTGCTGGAGCGAGCTCTGGCAGGCAGATTTCTCATTGCCTTTGATTCCATTAGAAGGTCAGGAGTGAGAAGTAGGAGGCCGTTAGGGTAGGAGGTTTCCTTGCTTTTCAACTTGCCAAAGGTCCAACACGCCACTCCCACAGAAGAGTGGGTTGCTTTACGGTTTTTCTTCCTTTTTTTTCTTTTTATTTATTGTCTTTCCTTCTTTCTTTCTGCTGTTTTTTTTTTTGTTTTTGTTTTATAGAATTGAAATTTTCAAAATGGTTTTGTATGAGGTAGAAAGCTTTGAATCTTCAAAAAAGGTTTAATAATATATAGATACATTCATATAAAATTATCTTATAAAAATGCCTAAAGAAATCCAAGAAGAACATGTATTTTTGCAAGTTCATTTAGCAAAGGAGTTGCTCAGAGGAGTTCTGCATAAAAGCATAGCTGCTCGTATGTTTAAAATGTACCAAATTTCTTTGAAATAGTCTGTTTATTTTATTTATTTTTTCCTCTATTTCCTAGTTAAATGAATTGGGAAGAGAAAAGAAAAGGTCATGAAACTATTCTGTTGCCTTTGGGTCCATGTATTAATTTTATACAAGTAAAAGACTCCGAAAAAACCATTGCATTTGTTTACTTTTCTAAAATTTTATTTTGAATATTTCCAAAACATCATCAGAGATAGACATTACATTTTGAGATGTATAAAATTAAGTTTCTTTCTTTTTTTTTTTTTTCCAATGGTGTTAGGAATTAGGTGAAAATCTGTAAAATCAAAGCGCAAAAACATTCATCTGGGCAATCTTTCTTCATTTAAATACCCATGGCCACACCACACTGTGATTTAAGAGAGGGTGGTCCACACGCTGTATTGAGACGCTTTGAGAACACGGCGCTTAGTCTACGTTCAGAGCTAGCGCGAGGCAAGCCGTCCAGACCAGTGGGAGACAGCATGCATTTTTGTGCTGCTGTGATAAAATTGTCTGACTGGAAGCAACTTCGGGAAAGAACGGGTTCACTCTGGCTTACAATTCCGAAGGTGTAGAGTCCACCGTGGCAGAAGAGAAGGCAACAGCTGGGATCATTGAGCAGCCGGCTCAATGATCTCATTTTCATTCACACACAGGCCGCAGAGAACAGGAACTAGGACAAAGCAGTAAACTGAGGCAGCTTGCCCTAGCGCTGTCCTTCCTCCAGCTCGGCTCCACCCACAACATGCTGCACAACATCTTCAAACAGCACCACTGGGATCATGTGTTCAAATCCATGAGACTGTGGGGGACAGTTCTTATTCAAGCCACCACACCAGGCAGGAGGAGCAACAGTTTGTGGCCAGACTAACTCTTGAAAACACCAAGAATACAAACAAAACACCCCGTTCCCTGACCTTAGCTGTCAGTTGTTTTATTTGTCCAGTTAGGGGTTACCTGTTCCTAGGAAGTCTCCTACTTACATAATGAGCCTGGGCTACCCTTACCCATTCTTATCAACTTTATACTTGTGGCATTTCTTTCTGTGGTTTTTGTATCAAATCAGGCAGGGTTGTGTAAATCCAGTTTGTGTGGTTTGAAATAATACATTCATATGCTTTAGGGATTGAAAAGGATGAGTGGCCAGAAAAGAATGAAAATTTTAAGATCAGTGGGAACCATACTATATTCTATTCATTCCTACATTCTTATACATATATATTATGTACATAATATCTACACATATAATATATGTGTATATATTATATACACATATATAATATATATATTATATGTGTGTGTTGCTTCAGGTAATAAATTTCAGAAACAGCATGAGCCAATAATGCATTGAGGTCAATGACCAGCCAGGGCAAATCGACTGGAAAGAAGTCAGCTGCTAGGGCACAACAAACAGCTGCATGTGGGAAAGATGCGAAAAGCAATGCCTAGGCTGACAAAGGACCAAGAAATGGCCAAGCAGAAATGCCTCCTCAGCAGGTGAAAGGTGAGGTGGGAGTGCTCACAGATATAAATGCATCTGTTCATTAAGGTCCGTCTACCAACAATCCATCTCCTCATTCTCCTACCTCATGTGCTTCTGCACATGGGACATTTGCAGAAAAGACTGGTTTGGCTCCCAAATCCTATTATCCAAAACCGTGAAATCTTTAAAGATAACTCTGAAATTAACCAAAGAATATGAAAGCCCTTTGCCAAATCATGCAGATGCCAATGGTAAGAGATGAAGAATAGTCCTTTACTCAGGGAAGGAGGAATAAATGCAGCTCATTTTCCTTCACCTTGGGCTTTTCAGGTAAAGGAGACAACTAATCAAACGTAGGAACTTGTAGTCTGAGAGCTGTTTGATAACTCCATCATAAACATACAATGAAGCGTGTGATACCAACACTGTCCACTCTACTTTGGTATGCTCATTCATGACCTCAGCTGCTAACGAACTGTCAGACATTAACAATGCTTTTAGGTTAGAGGAGTAATAATTCTACACCACACAATAAATTGTTCACCTAATAAGCTTAAAAATAAACACACCTTGAATAACTTTGCATTTTCAAAAGGAGGGGAAGGGTCAGACAGTTTTAAGTCACAGTATCAATTATAGGCAGCTGAATTTGGTCTTGATAGTACTATGTCTACTTCAGAATATCTATCTATGTATCTGCATATCTGCATCTATCTGTCTGTCTGTCTGTCTCTCTGTCCATCCATCCATCTGCCTTATGATTGTTGCTATTTTCTTCTTTGTTTCCTTCATGTTTCCCCTCTGCCTCATCCCATGCCAGGGATTAAGCTCTAACACTAAGCTATATTCCCAGCCCTTTTTATCACTTTTAAAATTATAAGGCAGGTTTTCATCTACGTTGCCCAGCCCATTTTTGGATCTACACAATAACCAAAGCAATCCAAAAATTTGTGATTCTCCTCCCTCAGGCCCTGGATTAGGTAAGGTCTAGCTACAGTTTTTCCCTTAAATTAACTTGAATTTGAATGTTAATTTCGTTGACTGCATTTTGGGTAGCTGAGAATAATGTGCTATTTTGAGTTTTCAAATATGTGCTTGGAATTGACACCAACAATACACAACCTTTAAATGACTGTCACAATCAACCCTGAAAAACATCTTCTTAGAATTTATATATCATGCAAATAGCATGATATCTTGAAAATCATGACATCCTCTTTCAGGCTGAAGAGATGGTTCGGTGATGACGTGCTGTTCTTACAGAGGCCCAAGGCTTGGTTTCAGCTGGTGGCACCCAGGAACCTGTAGCTCCAGTTCCACAAGATTCAGTGCTTACTAGCATCTGCATGCCCACGGTGTGTATGTACTCGTGCAGGCACGTATGTCCACACACATAATAAATTTGATAATAATTGTATTGGTTAAGGTTTCTTTTGCTGCAACTAAACACCATGACCAAAAAGCAAGTTGTGGAGGAAAGAGTTTATTTGGCTTAAGTTTCCACAACATAGCCCACCATTTGGGGAAATCTGGACAGGAACTCAAACAGAGCAGGAACGTGGAGGCAGGAGCTGATGCAGAGGTTTTGGAGGGTGCTGCTTACTGCCTTGTTTGTCGTGGCTTCTTCACCCTACTTTCTTACAGAACATAGGACCACCAGCCAAGGATGGCCTGACCCACAGTGGGCTGGGCCCTCCCCACACCAATCACTAACTGAGAAAGTGCCCTACAGGTGGATTGAATGGAGGCCTTTCCTCAACTGAGGCTCCTTCCTCTCTGATGACTGTTTCTTGTGTCATGTTGACACACAAAATCAGCAATAATAATAATAATAACAATAATATGTTAAAATAATTGTTAATCTATTGAAGCATAGAGATTTTAATATGTTTTTAATAGATCAGTACTCTCAGGCCAGAGAAACCAAATGCTGTTTATTTCCCCAGAACCCAACCACAAAAAAAAAAAAAAAAAAAAAAGAGAACTATACTGAATTTCTTTCATAGATTCACATAAAAGCACAACTGCCAAAATCCAAAACTCTGGAACACCCGTATGTAAAGACAACGATGCTATTTGTCTTGTGAGATTTGTACTGTTAGTGCTTAGAACATGTCTAGAACACAATATAGACACAGCAAAAAGCTTCCTAATCAAGAAATATTCACACTTATCACCAAGTTATAAAGGTATCAATTAGTCACATCAATAGGGAGAGAATTGTTCCAATGAGAACTGTCATTCTTTAACCTATCCATTTCACAGGCAGAACTGCATACAACTGAATTGCAACTATAGTTCAAAACAACAAATAATTACTAGTATTTAACACTTTGCAAAAAGTTTCTCAGATTAGCTTTATTCTTGATGCTTACTTGCAATAATTATGCCTTGCTGCATGGACAATAAAGTTGTGGTTTTAGCACACATAATGAGGCTATGAGGAAACGGCCACTCTGTCCACTGAACACCAAGAACCTACCGTGCGTCCAGAGCAGAGACAACTGGAAGTCCGGTGCTCCTTGTGTCTCTGACAGGTCATCAATCACAGTGTTTGCCCTGCATGGTTAACATTTTTCTACTACCACTCAGATGAATACTAGCCCCTTGAGATGATTTGTTTAAGGAAAGTAAACAAGGGTGGCCAATTCAGGATTACCTCACATTTACTTAGGAGCCCAGTTTCTTGCAGCCGTGACCAGATGCTCTGTATTCGCCCAGCGTGCTCAGGGTGGGGGGTGGAGCTGCCACAGATGCACTGATGTTTCAGCATCAGAGGGTCATAGGCAATTCCTTTGAGACAAAGAAAACGCAATCAACGATTGAGTGATACAAGGTATGACAATGCATTAGAAGATAAAATAATTAGCCTGAAGCAGCTCTGGAGACCATGTGACGGCTATTTAGCCTTGTGTGTCTTTAAAAATCAAAACAAAACAAAATAAACAAACAAACAAACACCTACCCATGGATTAACAGTGCTCACTCCTTAGTTCAATAAATTGTAAAGGGATATACATACATACATATGCATATAAGTAACATATACATAATGCAGTCTTATCAGTAATTCAAATAATTATTGAGGCGGATAATTAACTTCAATATGGGCTCTAATTTTGTTAGTGAAGTTATAAAGTAGGCAGTTTTTAAAATCATCAAACTTATGAGTAAATTAGAGTTTTCCTTCAGGGTTATTTCTCAGAATAAACTAGGGGAGTTTCCAGTGTCCTCCCTGGTCAGTTGTGCAGTAAGTGTCTTTGCTCCCTTGTGTTTCTTTATAATATTTGCTATAAAATAAGAAATGTGCCACATGGGATGCTGAGAAAGTCCTGAGCAAGCGTGTGTTGTTGACATGAGCACCGCCATGTCAAGGACCCTAATGCCTCAGACTCAAGGGAATGACAAGGCTTTCCCCAAGTCAGGCTCAGAGGAATGGCAAAGCCTTCCGATCTAAATATCTATGTTACAAAAGATTTGCCTGTAACTAAAACCAGTTTACACAGAAACTATCAACGGCAGCTTCCTCTCCAATGCTGGTTGCAACCTGAAACTTGGGGAGTTTCTCACAACCTGGCAAGAGGCATTTGTATCATCATGCCCCCTCAGTGTTTTAATCAGTAATGCCAGTGGGGAGCAGATGAAATCCTGAGTGAATGTGTACTATTGACCTAAGCACGGTCATGTCCAGGGTCCAGTGCGACAGATCTATTGAATGTCAAGACCTGGCCCAAGTACTGGTATTGAGAAAGTATTGGCCTAAAACCAGGATGTGCAGACAGAAAAGCAGCAGCTTCCTCATCATGGCTGTGACTTTGCGGAAACTATCAACCCTTCCTCCTCCAGTAGGACTGCAATATGAAACTGCTCCCCCAACAGAGACCTCCTGCTGAGATCAGCTAGCCACCTATTCATTCTACTGTACAAAATAAACCCACTTCCTGATTAAGCTGTATAGAATAAGCCCATTTCCTGTTTCAGCTATATACAATAAACCTGCCTCCTCATTCAGTTCTATGTTACATATATGCTGAGTTTCTGAGCTGCTATGTGCACTCTGTCAGAGCACACAACCACCCAAACCCAGCTTATCAATAAGGGTGTCTGTGTGCCTGTCCTTTCTTCAACTCTCCACAGTTAGGTTAAGTCCAAAGCTATGCAGATCAAATCAAATCCCAAAAAATGCAATGTCAACTTTGCAGCTTACGTGAGACTCCTTAGGTTTCCTTTAAAAATTAGTATCAATTACAATGCCTTCGCTATAGATTTCATAGATAATAAAATTTAGCATCAGGAGTTGGTATATGTAATGTTTTAGTTATACCCTATGATGGGAACATTTTACAAAACTTGTTGAAAAAAGTTATTAATGAAACATAATACAGGATTTTAGTGGGGCAAAGGGTAATGTCATTTACAAAACTGTCAGTTATAAGAAATTGTTTAGCCAATCAAATATCCTCCAGTAAATGATCTCTCAAGTACATTTTCCAAGTGATGGGGAAATCTACCTGTGATTGGAAATTAAATAACAGTAACAAAAACTATTCAGTAACTTATAAACATCAGCCACTGACTTGGTACCATAAGTTGACTAAAACAATTTCATTTTCCCCTTGACCTACATTATTGTGTTAGAGAAAAGTTACTGAGGATGGGAAGTATTTTCCCTTGAGTGTACTAAAATCATGCAGAAGAATGACATCTGCATTTTGAAGCCATGCGGTAAAAATTATGTCTGTCAGAAAATATTATATTACTCTGCCAAATAATATCCATTCTTAAGACTCACTGGCTTCAAAACCCACCCCTATGCCTGATCCTGATCTCAAATTTTCTCAGCCTGGCTCTCTCTTCCTAGCTGCAGACTCACACACTTATCTATTAGAATGCCAAATCTCCTCTTGAAAGGCTCATGGTTTTCCTAAATGCTAATGCCTGTAATTTTCGATTTTAAACCACACTTGGTGCTCTTCAGTTTTACAAGGGACTTCAAGATCCTTTATTGCTCACACCAGAAACCTGGCTGTCTTCTTGATATTTCCTAGACTCCAAAGGTGTGTCTGTTTTTCCTCCCAAACAGATCTTGAATCACTCACTTCTTATCTCCTTGGCCCAAACCAAATGTAATCCAAAGGACTATTCTCTCTAATCTGGACTCCTGAGATAACAAGAAACCAGCTACTTGATTTTCCTCATGTTTCAGTTGCCACAGCACACTAACTACGTTGTTCATAAACGTCCCCTCACGATGAGATAGACATTCCATAAATACAGCACAGATAAGCCCCTTCTCTCCTCAGTACTTTCTTTCCCATGCCTCGCCTCGGTTTCTGTTTCTACAACAAAGGCTTTTCTTACATTCCTCAGAAAGGTCATAGCTTGCTAGCTTGAGGTCTTTCTACATGCTGCCCTATCTATGCCTGAAGTCCTTCCTCATCTGCCTACCCCAATCCTCAGCCAGATCATTCCATTTCATTCTTCAAGTCTCGGTTCTGATGTTGCCTACCCAATAAAGCACCATCTGAGATCTGTAAATCACATCTCTGGGACCAGTGTGTCTAATTCCTTAGCTTTCTCTAGGATCTTAGGACTCCATTAGAGTGTTGATGAAAAACTACACAAAGTGATATTTTGTTAATTTTATGTGTTCCTCATTAAATGGTAAGATATATAGAAGTACAGACACATAGTTGTATAATTTAACTTTTCCATTCCCCGTTTCAGCAGCCATGTTTGGATTAAAGCAGGGTCTCCAGAGCATGCTGAAATGACCTGGAAACAACCCAGATGTCCATCAACGGAGGAATGGGTACAGAAATTGTGGTATTTTTACACAATGGAATACTACTCAGCAATCAAAAAGGAGGAAATCATGAAATTTGCAGGCAAATGGTGGGACCTAGAAAAGATCATCTTGAGTGAAATATCCCAGAAGGAGAAAGACAAACACGGTATATACTCACTTATATAGACCTATAAGATATAATAAACATAATGAAATCTGTACACCTAAAAAAGATAATCAAGAGAGTGGACATGGGGTAAGATGATCAATCCTCGTTTAGAATGACAGATGGGATGTGCATTGAACATATGACAGGAGTCTACTGAGTGCATTGGAAAGACTCTAACTAGCATTGTTTTCAAAGCAAAGACTCATGACCAAACCTTTGGCAGAGTACAGGGAATCATAAGAAAGAAAGGGAGTTAGTCTGATGAGGAAAGGATAGGAGCTCCACAAGGACCAAAGATATCTGGGCACAGGGTCTTTTCTGAGACTGACATGCAACCACGGACCATGTATGAATGTAACCTAGAACCTCTGCTCAGATGTAGCCTGTGGTAGCTCAGTAACCAATTGGTTTCCCATAGTGAGGGGAACAAGGACTATTTCTAACAGGAACTCAATGACTGGCTCTTTGACCTCCCCACCCCCCAAGGGAGGAACAGTCCTGTTAGGCCACAGAGGAGAGCTTTACAGCCAGTCCTGAAGATACCTGATAAAACAGGATCAGATGAATGGGGAGGAGGTCCCCCCTATCAGTGGACTTGGCAAGGGGCACGGTGGAGAGGAGGGAGGGAGGGAGGGACTGGGAGGGAATGAGGGATCAGGGATCGGGACACGGCTGGGGTACAGAGTTAATAAAATGTAACTGATAAGAAAAAAAAAAAAAAAGAAAAACATCAGTGACTAGACGCAAGACATAGGTTGACATTTCTGTGACACAGCCTTCCTTGATGGATTCAGTCAGTAGATCTGCTTGGACTCTTGGTGTTTGTGTGGTCGTCATTGATACACTGCCCATTGTATGATACACCTTATCTTTCAGCCAAAAAGCATTTCTTTTACCCCATTTTATATTTATACAAACATTTCGCGTAATTTCACTATTTTCATTTCATTCAAAATCCAACACAAATCGATATTCTTAAACTGAAAGGAAGATGGTAAAAAGAAGAGGCAGGCAGCAAGGAAGAGTAACATCCAAAATATACATTGCACAGGTGTGTCTTGGTGATTTGTCTTGATCAAAGTGATTTATAAGTTGCAATGCATATTTGGAGCTGCTTAATAAATTTTCTTTTTTTTTTTGAATTTTATTTTTTTCTTATCAGTTACATTTTATTAACTCTGTATCCCAGCCATGTCTTAATAAATTTTCAACTTCTGTTACATACTACAATAAATGATAAAATAATATAAAAATAATAAGTATAATATCTACCTCAGTAAAACATTCCTTAAGAGTGCAAAATATAACCATTATGTTGTTTTACTATTCCTATTTTCTACACAATTCTAAGCTTATTTAGATAGTAACTTTCCCCCTTTTATTTTATTTTATTTTTTTACAACACACAATGTCAATAAAACTCAAATTACAAAACAAGCTGTAGCCCTGCAAAACTCCTGCTCGGTATCTGGAGATTGTAACACAAAGACCAGGAGCTCTTGGAAAGGCATTTGAATTTAAGGAAAAATATTTAAGACCTGGAGCCCCAAACCTCCAATGACTCATCTTAATGATTTCTCAATGAGGTGCTAACAAGTAGACAGTAAGGTGAGACATCAACCCAGTTTTTCTCCTGCCCTTTCCTTTTCTTCTCCCCCACAGAAACAGGGGATCTATAGGGAGGGAAAACAGCCTGCTCTTCTCCTTGAGAACCATGAGGAATTCTCTGTTCATTTTATACTCTCTGCCCCAGTGCTTACAACTTGAAATATAAGCCCAAGGACGCATCTATCTCGTGAAAATGATAATGTAAAATAGTTTTAAAATTCTTTACCT